TCACAGCCAATCGGCTGCCAGCGCGCGCCGTAGCGTCGGAAGGCGGGAAATTCAAACGGGTTGGGCGCGGGGCGCCGCCGGGGCTCGCTTCCCCTCAGAGCGTCCCGCTGAGGGCCGGGGAGGGAGAGGGGGGGTCCCAGCGGCTCTAACGCGGTTCTCCCGCCTCTCCCTGCAGCGTCACCAACGGTGGCAAAACCACCCTGACCAAGAGAATCATCAAGGCGCTCCCCAACTGCTGTGTGGTCCATCAGGATGACTTCTTCAAGGTAAGCGGAGCTCCTCCCCTTGTTTAAAATGTCAGCTGCTGCTTGTATATGTAGTGATAGTTGTAGTAGGTCCCCCCGCAAGTTTTATATGCTTGTGCATGCTTTTCAAGTAAGTTTTGACAGCTTAGGAGTAACACATGTTCTGATTTATTTATTTTTTTTAAGATATATGTATTTAATTTTTTAAATTACTTTGGACAGGTGAGGAGATACTGACCTTTACAATGTTGGCATCTACCAGTTTCCACAGAAGTGGAGCCTGGCACAGCTGAGCACAGAACAGTTGCAGCAAAAGCTTCCTTTAGTTTTAACAAGTAGTCTAACTTTAGGTTAAACTACTGATCTAAGTTAGAGGTTATTTACTGTGCTCTGTACAAATCACTTTCTCCATGTTGAGTTTTCCTCGTTTTATTTAAATAAGAATGTTGCTTGTAAATAATACTTGAGGATTTAAGCACCCCTACACTGCTTTAAATGCAGAAAGACAGTTGTATTGAGGAGCTTTGACAGCTCTGCATCAGAAACCCAATTCGAAGACTGCTAAAGATGAATACGGAAGACCTGTGCTGGCTTGGGTGCCCTCAGCACCAAGCCTGGGAGAGCAGCAGGGGAAGCGGTCAATTCAGAACCGCGTTACTAAACCCTGTAGGCTGCAGCCATTTCACAGGAATTACAATATAGCTGGACCCCACTGTAGGTGGAAGTCCAAGAGATGTGGCAACGCGCTTGAAGTAGTTGTCTGTTGTCCCCTGACATGTGATGTGCTCCAGCATCGGCAGCCGCGTGGTCGGTTTGTCCTGCCTTTGCAGGAGCACGTGCCATACAAAAGAGAATGAGGCACTCATTTGGAAGTGCCTCTTTGCCAGAAGCCTCATGCACAAATTTGGTCAGATGTGAGCCCTTAAAACAGAGGAGGAATTTTCCATGAAGATACGTAACTTCTCACCAGTGTGTTTAGCTCACAAACGCTAGTGCAGATCAAGCTATAACTAAGTGATTGAAAGTCGTGCTGGGCTGACCTGCATTTTTATTAGGGCCGTTAGGAGTTAAAATAGCTATTACTGAATATGTAAATTTTAGCAGTTACTTAACACTGTATTTGCATTTTGAGTTCTTATACGTTGACATATAAACAGGGGCCTGTAGTATTTTGGTTAATAACACCATATCAAATTATTAACCTAGAATTCTTTGTCCAAAGTGGCTTGACTGAGCCAAGAAAACTTTGCAAAGTTCTTGGGGTTGGTGAAAGATGGGAACTTAAATTTCAGGGTCTGTAACTGTTTTGTTAAGTGAACACTTGCTTTTTTGTGTATTGCAGTAGTGTCCAGGTTGTGATCGGATCTTAGGTAACTGATCACGCTGAGTTTGCAGCAATGTTTTATTGCTCACTATATTTCAGCCACAAGATCAAATAGAAGTCGGGGAAGACGGCTTTAAACAATGGGATGGTAAGAGCAGTGTTCGCTATAGGATGCAGTAATGTATATTTTTCCTAAGTATTTCTTTTTAATTTTTAAAGATTTAACAGTAAACTTGTGTAATTTCAATTTTACAAGTTCATTCTACATTATACTTTCAAGCCTATGTGGTTCGTGGTATTTGATTGTATACCTTTTTCCCACCCACCCCCTTTCTTCTAACTAGTGTTGGACTCCTTGGATATGGAGGCAATGGTGAGCACTGTGCGTGCGTGGATTGAGAACCCAGTGAAGTTTGCCCGTTCCCACGGGGTGAATGTCACGCCTGGCTCTAAAGAGCCAGCCTCCAAAGATATCCATATATTGGTCATTGAAGGCTTCCTGCTTTATAATTACAAGTAAGGTTTGGGGAACTATTAACGGTTTGCCAGGGAAGAACACTAGATCCCTAGTGCCAGGGCTAAAACCTCCTTTTTACTAATATTCCCTTCCTGGCTTGTCCTGAGGTATCACGCGTAAGAACTTTTCTCGTGTAAAATTTACCAGTACATGCTGGTAGAAGTGAGGTGCGCAAGGTGACTTTCTCAAGGTAACATAGGAAGTTCTCGTTTCGGGCACACCCTTGAACTCTAGGGCACAGAGAGCTTTAGCCCAGAACTTGTAAATCCTGAGCCAGCAGTGAAGGCACCCGCTTCCCTCCTGGTCTCCTACCACGGTGCATAAACCTTGACCTGAAAAGGTTGCTGATGAGAACAAGAAGATAATCCGTTCTGCGTTCACTACTTGGAATCTCTCCTGGAATCTAGGAATAGTTATCTCGTGTGATACACATGCTTGTTTAACACTGACTAAATTGAGCTCAGTAATTAATTGTACGCTGGAGCAGAGATCAACTACTCTTGCTTTTTTTTTATATGGGGGGAAAAATGTTTGGTAGAAAGATGGGGAGACTAGACTAACAGCAAAGAGGGGGAAAACTTCCAATAGCTAAATACATAAACTTCAGAAAATTGCACGCTATAAACATGATGAGCAAAAGATTCTTGGCTCCAAACTATAGTCTTGTTTACAAAACCCTTTCAAGAGAACAAGCTGTGCATGACACTTAGCAAAACCAGAGTTGTTTATAAGCTGTACCATAAGACAAGCAGCTCTACTCCAGCTTCCAAACTGAATGGAAAATGTAAAATGGCAGTCTTGCACTGGCCATACCGAAAATGGCCAACTGGAGATTGCGCTGGCAAACTGCCTGGTGTTCTTGGCCTGTCCCCAGGGAGGTAACTCTCGAGATCTCTCCTGAAGGTTACAAATACCTCTGAAGCGCTCCATCTTGTTAATGGGAGCTTTTCCTTAGCCCGGAGGGAGTATTTCGTCCACAGACCTGGGGCTTGCTCAGTTCATACTATATTAAGCATTTATGCAACCCTCAGCAGACTTTTAGAACTCTCGGTCCCACCAGGTTCGAACTAGATTTGCTTTAAGGCTTTTTCTGGGTTTATTTTCTTCAGCCTAATAGGAGTGCAACGCAGTAAGCTGCGGTAGAGCTAACTTCCTGTATTTCTGTAAAAGGTCATGAGCTGATGAGTTGCCTTGTACCAAATGTGTGTGCCCATGCACTTTTTGACAGCTTGCTTCTGCACAACAGGCCAGACGGTGTGATAAGTCAGTTCATATCAGATTGATGAATCGCAGCTTTGGTCTGCTGCAAGCAGAATTTGAAACGATCTAGAAAGAGTCAGGGTTCACAGCCCAGGTCTTCCCAGCCCAGTGTCTGATCCTCCACAGTAACTGGTAGCAGGTATTTAGGTGGGAAAAGTACCTGCCACACCATTCTGACCTACAAAAACCATCATTCTCCACGTTTTATAGCTACTAATAAACCTACCGTACATTAGCTTGTGTCTTAATGAAAACACTTGCACTTCTGTTGTCTACAATAGAGACAAATACCAGAGAGGCAGAAAGACTTTTTTTGTAGCTTACAGGGGTGATTTAACACTTTGTCAGAAAAAATAGACACGTTTGTTCTTTCTACCCTACCCTAGACCACTGATAGACCTATTCGACATACGCTACTACTTGGCAGTTCCATACGATGAATGCAAAAGGAGGAGAAGGTAAGAAGATTCTTTGACGTAAGTCTAATCCTTCCTTCCAATAAAGACTCTCTACTAGAGGCAAGCCCTCAGGCTACCTTTATGTTGCTATTAATGGGATACGTTGGTGTCACTTACAAATTGGAATAACAGTTTAAGTTTTTAATTTAATTGGAGAAAGAGGCTTTCCCGTAGCATTTTCTGAACCTTTAGGTCTGGCAGTCCCCTCTGGGGGTGGTTTATGAAGATCAGCACGTCGGTGCAAAAGGAACATGCTTCCCCCGTGAGCATCAGTAAACCCTCCGAGACTGCTCGCTTTGCCTTCATCGGCCACCTGTAGCTTCTGCATTCACTTTGGATGCTTAAAGAAACTTGTTGCAAAACCTAGGCCAATATCGATGAGAAATCGGACTGTGACAATCAGCTTTTACGTAAATGCAACTGAGCAGCTCTCAGATTAACTTCGGGCTTCAGTAGTGTGCAAGAGGTAGTGCGATCCCGGCAGTCCTGATGTTCTCTTCCATTTTGATATTTGCAGTACACGTAACTACACTGTTCCTGACCCACCGGGTCTCTTTGATGGACACGTCTGGCCCATGTACTTAAAACACAGGAAAGAAATGGAGGACAGCGGCGTTGATGTCGGTAGGCATCCCTAAGTACAAATCCTTTGGCATTGTACTTTGGATTTTAAGGAAGTCAGTAACTTAACTCAAGGAAACTTTAACTGTACGATGCAGGGCACTATTTTTACTACTAAGTTGTGATTATGGCCTACTTTCTGTCCAGATAAATACATGCAGTTTTATAGCTAAGAATTTCTTCTCTTTGTTTCTTATTATAAGCATTTATGCGGGGGGGGGATAAGAAAAACTACATTGTTTATAATGGGATAAGAGATTTTGCGGGCCGTGGTTTTTTCAGGATGGTTCTGTTTTTCCAGTTGGGAAAACCAGTTGTCATTCGAGTCAATAGAGTATGAGATACTTTAAAACTAATCCACAGAAGCTTTATTCAGATCAGAAACCCGCAGCCTGAAACCTCCATCTCTCTTTCAGTTTATTTAGACGGACTGAAGTCTAGAGATGAACTTTACAATCAAGTCTTCGAAGATATTCAGAACAAGCTTTTAAATTGCTTATAGGTAAATATGTCCCCGCTTCCGAGGGGGCGAAATGTGAGGGACTGACTGCTGGAAACAACCCGCTCCTACGCTTGGGTAGTCACACTCTCCCTTCTTGCTTTTCAGGGTCTCGGAAGACCTGAAAGACCCATTTACAGAGTGATGTAAATAGTACTTAGAAGTCGGAATGAGGGTTTATTTGTGTAAACTCTTCTTGTACTGTCCTTTGGAAAGTATCTTTTGTATATAATTGAAAAAATGAAGATAACTTATTCACAACTCTGTGATGGACAGGTTTTTTTTTTATTTTCTTATTTTATATTCCACTGGCTTAAACATAAGTTGGAAATGCATTTTTATAACGGAACAAGTAGAGCTGCGTTAGGAAAACAACTGACTCTTCTGCTTATGTGCTTCTGCAGATATTAAGTCTTTAAGTAATGGCTTGTTTGTAATGTCATCTCTTAAATTCAGTAAAAATTAATTTAAAATCTCTTTCTTTTGAGGTCCTGCTTTAATACGTCAGTCACTGTTACTGTAGTAGAAATAGGCGCAAAACTCCCCCAAAACACAACAACAGCCCCTGCTTTTTCATATGGCATCTGAAATTTCATACCTGTGCGGCCTCAAACCTCCCTTCGTGTGTTGCTGCTTTGGTTTAAGTGGTAACACTGGCCTGGAAACCTAGTTCAGACATCCCAACAGGAGTGCGATTCTCAGAGGTGATCATGGGAGGTGAACAGCACTTCAGATATCTTTAATGTGCTGGTATGAAACTGGTTTTATGTCAGCCTCAGCTTCGCGGCCTTTCTCACTTCATGCTCAAAGCAAATCGGCACGTAGCGATGCTACGGCCCATTTCACACAACAATCGAGTGCTCCCAAGGTGAGAAGTTTGGACAGAAGCCTCTTTCTGCCTTTCGCGATCCAAACAAGAACGCTATTTGATCCTAAATTCTCCAGCTAGCTGAACCTCGAGAGGTGGAGGTGGCTGTATTTCTGAATTTAAAATCCAGAAGGCAAACCGGTGGGGATTCTCAGGGAATGAGAGTAGCAGCCTCGTATTAAAATTGCGCTGCCTTAGGAAACTTTTCAGGAATTAGTGCTGAAAATGCCATCCTAATTTCAGTTTGAAACACACAGCATTTAAACCCATCCTTGGAGTACCCGTGCGGCCCCTTTACCAACAGACTTTTCGTTAACTCGCTGTGAAAGTGCTCTAAGGAGTCCATGCCGTAGGGAGCAGTCCTTTATACCCCCGTGTCACCTGCCTTCACAACGTGTCCTGCAGAGCGGCTCACGCCCAAGTAGGTTACGTACTTCTGGCAAAATCCTGCGTTAAAGTGCCAGGCAGCACATTGCAACTCTAAAACGTAGGTACAGGAGCTTCTGCTTTTTCAAATCCTTCCGAGTAAGTTTGTAGGAAGTCCACAGATTTCTTACTCATCCACGTCCTCCCTTTCTAGCAAAACTATAAATAAAATGCCAGTGGAAACAGTTTTACTGATTTTTCTGTTGATAGGCTTTTTCTTATTTCAGCGAGTTAAAAAAAGCCTCCCGCTCCCAGCAAGACAGCACAAAATTAGGCAAACACAATCGGGACATGGAGCATGACATGCTTGAGAAAGGAACGGGGACATTGCTCCTGAAGCAAAACTGAGTGGTAGACCTTTATTTTCCTGCTTATCGCGTACTTTCTTTGAGAACAACATTCTGCCTGAGTTTCCTCTTTTATGAAGAGCGCGACTCCTATTCTTCACCAGGCTTTTAGGCAGAACCTCCGCCCGCGAGCCAAATGGTGACCTTCACCCGGGCAGCCCGGCGGGAAGCACGAGTAGCACAATGGTGAGCGCTACGAAAAATGTCATCTCCTCTCTGCCCCGTCTGCTCGGATGGGTCTGTGCTGCCACCGGCCACGCCTGGGGCAACGTCTGCACTTGGCGCGTGCCGGGGACAAAGGCAGCTCGCCGGGGCTGTAGAACAGAATAGAACAGACTAGAATATTTCGGTTGGAAGGGACCTACACTGATCATCTAGTCCAACTGCCTGACCGCTCCAGGGCTGACCAAAAGTTAAAGCATGTTCTTAAGGGCACTGTCCAAATGCCTCGGCGACACTGACAGGCTCGGGGCATCGACCGCCTCTCTAGGAAGCCTGTACCAGGGTTTGACCATCCTCTTGGTAAAGAAATACTTCCTCATGTCCAGTCTAAACCTCCCCTGGCCGCAGCTTTGAACCATTCCCGCGTCCTGTCCCTGGATACCAGGGAGAAGAGATCAGAGGGCTCCAGAGATCAGTTTGCCCTAGAGCTGTGGCAGAAGGAGAGATGAGGCCCCTCGGCCTCCTTCTCTCCAAACGAGACGAACCCAGAGTGAAGACCTGGTTGCAGCGCTGCCCTTGGCTGGTGGCTAGCTCCAAGCTAATAATAAACCCTCCACACCACCCTGTGCCTGGTAACTAATTAAGCTTAAATACTGTGGTGAGATAGGTGAGCGTGTTGAGATCTGTCAACCCGCTATCGAAATACACCGGCTAAAGATAGGAAGTGCCATTAAACTGATGTACTAAAGCACATGCGGCGCACCACGCATAAAAGGTTCACCATGTTAAAGTACAAAACCTCTCACGTGGGACGAGCGTGGTGATCTTTTGGGCACTAAAATAACTCGGCTGTGGTGTCAGCACAGCTCACTTCAGAAGATTTTTGAGCGTGCCTTAATTAGAAACGTTGCTCCAGAAAAGCAGCTGCCACAGATTAGCAAGAAGTCGCCCAAAAAACCACCAAGCCTGTTTCAAGGGGTGTTTTAAACAGCCTGGTGAAGCAGCCGGAAACGAGACCAGCGGCAAGTCAGCTCCGCCACCTCGTCCTCGTGTTACACCGATATTTTCTGACTGTCTGGCCAGAATGGGGACGCCGCAGCCAGAAACGAGACGCGAATACTGATGGCATCACCCACACTTCCACAAGCTATAAAAAGGCATATTTCCTTGTGTGCAACCCCGTGCGTGCCTGGAGAGACCCACAAAACTATAATTACACCGTTACACGGCCGGGCACTCGTCGATGGCAAAGCTGAGGAACGCCTGGGCCAGGGACAGTGTGCTGCGACTTGTCACCGATACCTTGTAAGTCCGTTTGACATCGTTACATGGAGCGTTTCCCGCAGATTAGCTGCAGCTCCGCTCGCTGGCGGGAAATAAAAAAAAAAAATGCAGCCCCAGCTCCCCAGTGGGATCTGGCATATAATTTCCATCAGGGTTTTCCCCCCCGTGTTAAGAGACAGGTCCGACCCTCACCTGATAAGCCGTGCAAAACCATTTTGCTTTCACGAAGACATATAAGGGGAAAGACATCGCGCTGGCTTCGAGCCAGCCTCTAGGAAGCAAAAAAACTTGAAGCCTAAAAAAGGCACTTCGATATTCTCTGCCCGCGGAGAATATAAAACGCCCCAGGGCGGCGTTAGCTCCGGTTGCAAAGCCGGGGGAGCTGAGGCAGAACATCCCAGTACGTCACATTGTCAAAATCTCCCGGGGACCAGCACACCCCCTCGTTTCTGAGCACCACCCTCGCCCCCACAGTGTTTAGTACTAGCCGAGTCCCTGTGGTATTTACCTCCTGGACACTTTCTCCCCAGTAAATCCTCCTCCACCGCGAGCGGTAGGTATTCTCTCCCTTCTTCGCAGCGGTACGTGGTACATCGTGCAGCCTGCTGAACTCGTGCCAGTACCCTGCAATTTAAAACCCTCTAAAGCAAGTCACCCTGAGCGCAGCGGCAACAAAAACCACCCCAAATTCTGCTTTTTAAAAAACGTCTTTGGTGTTATCTTGTGCATCCACCAGGATGAGATCTCCTGCTACCACCCGCTCCGGAGCAGCGTGCCTTCTGGGCGGCTGGGGAGGAGACGGCTGCGCCGGCCAGGGTGAATGGCCAGCGACTTCCAAGAGCCTTGAAACAGAAACCCGCGGCGCGAGGAGCATCTGGGAAGCCTTAGCACTATGTGAACTTTGCACAGCTCGGGAACAACTGTTGCTATAGGATTTCCACACATCCTTTCACACGCTGGCTCTGGTGATGAATCAGCTCTGCGAGAGCGGATCAAATGCCCGGGACTCCAGCTGAATCCGCACCCCAAAGCCTCCCCCTGAACCCCAGCCCCCAGGATGCAGCGCCCAGGGGGAGGACGACGGCCCCGAGCCCCCCGGCCAGGAAAAACCCCCCACCATGGCCGAAGCCCCCCCTCCAGCACGCTGGGGCCGTGGCACGGCCCCTGCTCTGCTCTGGGACGCTGCCGCCAGCCGGGCGGTCACGCCATCACCCCTGGGTGCCAGGCGCCTTGGCCTGGAAAAACGGGACAGACTAAAATTATCCCCGGGCCCGCGTGCCCCGCGGGCTGGGATGAAACCTACACCCCGCGGGACGTCAGTGGGCAGCGGCCGGCACGTGGGGCTGCGCGACGGCTGGCGCAGATGGGGACACGGGGCACGTCCCCTCCACCCGGGCTGTGCCCATCTCGCCGCCACCCCAGACCCCCGGGGAGCGGGGCGGGGACGACGACACTGGAGTGACAAATAAAGCCTGAATTGAGCAAATCCCCTCAGCCGGAGGGAAACCCGCTGCTGCGTGCCCCCCCCTCCGCCGGTGCTGGCGAGCCAGAGGGACGCCTGCCATCCGCTGGGATTTGGCCGGTGATTCCCCCAGATCAAATTCCGCTGGATCTTGGCTCCATCGCCACGGGGCCGTGGGCAGCCAGAAACCCCTCGGTGCTCCCAGCGGAAACCCGCTCCCAGGCTCTCGCGCATGCTCCGTGGAAAGCGGCAATTTGGGACCTTGTCGCCTGCCCCATCCCCGTCCCCAGGAGGCCGGGGGCGAGGGGAGGGGGTCCAGCCCGTGCCACCAGCTGCTCTCCCGCGCTCGCTCTTCCTGGCCCCGATAATATTGGGGCTAATTCCTTGTCCGCTCTGTTCCCATGCAAAATGGGATCTGGCTGGTCCCCTGCAAAAGGGAGATCCCTGGGGAAAAGCATAGGGACCCCACAGAAACCCTGGGACCCTCCCTGCACCCAAGGGCCTTCCCCGAGCCCCAGGGACCTCCCCAAACTCCACAGACCTTCTC